TTTAAATAGACAGAGCACAAGCCGCTTTTAACGGCTTAAAGAAGCGCTTTACTAAAGTCCCCTTGTTATACTATTTCGTACTAAGCAAATAGATCCGCATTAAGACTAACGCTTTACAGTTTGCTATATTAGCTATTATATTACAATAGGCTAATAATAATTACTAGTACCCGATTGCCTTCTTCTTAAGGAAGATAATTAATACTAAGCGTCGTTACGAGACCTACGAGTAAGAGCTCTTAGCAATCGTAGAAGCCTTTAAGCATTAGCGCTATTATCTCGATAGCGCTTAGCACCCTATTTAGGTCTATACCGACTATAACAACCTATATAGGATTACTAAGGTTATACGGGTTATAGGTCGATAGGCTAGATAGGCCGTCTACCTCGCCGGGTTTGATTTTAATATATTATATTAGCTAGGCGTAAGTAACCCTACTAATAGCCTATCGAGGCGACCTAATTACGATAGCGAGACCTAGTATATTAATTCTTTGTTTCTAACCCTGTAGTATAAGATTGCTATAGACCTTGCTATAAAGTAAGCGTAGGATAAGCGGACTTCTAGACTCCGCGGCGGTAACAAATACTATAGCGGAGTTGTCGTTCTTCTAGTATACATTAAAAAGGACGTAGATCGCTCGAGCTATAACGACTCGATTAAAGATATTGCTATCTATAGCGATAGCACTATAGAAGAGGTTGCAGTTAATCCGGCTACTAGTGCTATTAGATATATATAATACGTACCTCGTTCGATAGCGAGGGTGCTATTAAATAACCTTATAAATAGGGATAGTTAATCGTTTATAGATAAGCTATTACGTACTTAGTAGAGGGACGCCTTTACTATCGAACGTATTAATAAGCTTATAAGTAGGCGAACGACTCGATCTAGTAAGAGTAACTAGTCGATCGATAATAAGGGTTACTTAAAGTTTAAGGGCAGATACTATATCCCTACGGAACAATCGATTAGATAAGAGCTTTTAAAGAGGCACTATAATAGTAAGCTCGCTAGTTACTATAGCATAGAGAGGTCGCACGAGTTACTATCGCGTATATACTACTAGCTAAATAGTAAGCGGTATATAAAGGAGTATATACAGACTTGTATAGTATACTAGCGAGTTAAAGCACTAAAGCACTTACTATTCGGCGAGCTGTCTTTACTCCCTGTCCTAAAGAAACTATTTACTAAACTAATAATAGACTTTATTATAGGCCTTCCGCCTGCTAAGCGTAGGGGCAGTAAGGACATCTTCGATGCTATTCTTATTATAGTAGATCGATTTACTAAAGGGGCTCGTTATATCCCTACCCGGAAGGACTAGACTGCTATTAATATAGCTAAAGCCCTATAGAACAACATCTTCTATAGCTATTAGGGAACCCCTAAAGGGATAGTCTCTAATAGAGGCTCGATATTTATATCTTACTATTAGAGTGAGATATGCCTATAGCTAAGACTTAAGTATCGCCTATCTATAGCGTTCTATCTATAAATAGATAGCTAGACCGAGAGGCAGAATACAACGCTATAGTAGTACCTACGCAGCTACATTAATAAGAACCCTAACGACTAGGTTAACCTCCTATAACTAGCCGAATTCGTATACAATAACAGTGTCTACTTATCTACTAAGGTGTTACCTTATTTCGCTATAATAGGCTAAAACGCTACTATACTATAAGACCCCTTATCGCTCGAGGCCGAGCGTAAGGAAAGGGAAGCGTATTAAGTACTAACACCTAAGACACTAGCGGCTATTAAGAGGGTTTAAAAGATGCGAGAAATTTACGCTAAGATAGCTAACAAACTAGCAAAGGCCTAGGCCTATTAGAAGGCCTATTATAACAAATACTATACGCTAATAACCTTTAAACAAGGCGATATAGTTATACTTAGTACAAAGAACCTCCGTATCCGCAAACACCTATTACCTAACGGCAAAACGAGGCCTAAGCTTGTACTAAGATACATTAGTCTATTCCGTATCCGAGAGGCTAAGGGTATATAGGCTTACTAGTTGTAGCTTCCCCCTTATTATACTATCTATAACACCTTCTACGTATCCCTCCTAAAGCTATATTACCTACGCGAGGGGGATAAAGCCCCTACTAAATACGAAGACATACTAGCGGATAGTAAAGAGCTATAGTCTATAGAACGTATCCTATAGTACCGGACTAGGAAAGGCAAGAAGGAGTACCTATTAAGATAGTAAGGCTATTTACCTAAATAGGACTCGTAGGAGGCTAAAGACTCCTTCGAGGATATAGCCGAGTTGTTAGATAAGTATTAGACTAGCGTAAAGAACAAGAAGAAGGCTAAAAGCTCGTAATGTTACTAAGGCTTAGGAATAATACTACCCCCGGGGTGCTATTAGCTAACTAATTAGAGGCTAGCAAACTAGGACAATAAGACTATACTACTATAGTAAATGCGTACTAAGTATTAATAAGCGCGCTATAACGCGTTAACTAATTACCTACTCTTCTAAAAGATGTCTATCTCTCTACTACCGAGCCCTACGGGTCCCCCTCTTATTTATTTATTCTATAGAGCCTCGAGGCCTAAGCGATCGATAGGGGCGCGCGCGTACGAAGGACGGTAATAAAGGTAATAGTATCGCGCTACGATCTAGTAGTATACCGGCAGCCGACATAGCTATATTAGTAACGGTATTACGGAGTGTATCGCTAGTTAAAGCGTTACTAGTCGAAGGAAATTAAAAGCAAGGTAAAGTTAGCGCTAAGACGACTAGCGCCGCTATTATTAATATTACCTACTCGCTACTATTACTAACCTTACCTATACTACGAGCCTAAGGCACTATACTAACTAAGTTAAAAGATTAAACCTAGTAAGGGTTTAATTAAAACTTTAACTAAGTTAAAAGATTAAGCGACTAATAGACTAACTAAGGGCAAAAACTATAGAGCTAAGCTAGCCGGGGTCAATCTTACGGATAATAGGTTACTCCTCGATCTTTCCGACCCTTTAAGCGAGGCGAACCTTAACTATTATACTTATAATAGCCTTTACCTATAGAAACTAGACGGACTATGTTTTTTAAAAAGATATAATTAGTTAATACTTAAAGGCTGCTAAACCTAACTAATTAGGGCTAGTAAAACTACGACAGTAAATAATAGCCCTCGTAATAATAAGAACAACCCTCGGAGTAGACATTTCTAGGTCTTTTAAGAGTAGACGCAAAGAACTCGGTACGACATTACTTAGAGCAGAGGTAGGGCTACAATACCTCGTACGTCTATCTATTGTAGTAGGGAAGACGCGCTTGTATTATAATTAGTCGAAGGCCCTTAATTCTCGTAGATATATATTACTTTATTATATATAAGAATAGCGTAGTTAGAGTTGCACGTTATATTGTATTAGAGGTAAGGTTTAATATAGTTATATAATTAGGTAGTTAAGTATTTAATTTAGCGCGGGCTAAGTAGCTTATTAGAATTGCTAAGTTAGCTATAATAGAGGTCGTAGAATATAGATAGGCTACGAGGGCGCGGCCTTTAGAAGGGAAGCGTATATTAGGGCTAAAGAGGCTATACGTAATTAGCATATAACTAGGCTAAGTAAAGCTAGGGTCTTAGTGCCTTAGGCAGGGCTTGGCGCTTAGTAATAGGCTAACTTGCCTGCCTTCCTCCCTCTCCTTCTAGCTCCTTATCGAATACTACTTGTATCTACTACTACCCTATCTACCTACTAATATAACCCTTCTTATACTAGTAGTCTTCTTACGTTAATATACTATGCTCGTTCTACTACTTCTAGTCTTATTACGACCTATAGAAGTAGTAGGTCCCTTCTTACGAAGCGTCGTAACTTAGTTAAGTAGACTCGGTATTATAAAATAATAAAAGTCGTCGAGTTAATAAAAAACTTAAAAAAAGTACGTTATAAAGATATATAAAGGCGCGCGTAGAGCGAGGGTATTATAGAGATAGTTAATATAGAGCGCAAAGATATAGATATCGATACGAAGGTTATATATAGCGAGAGAGGTAGTATCGCGGTATCGCTAGGTAATAGAGTAAGCGTCGCGTAAGCCTATATTATAGTAACGTTAGAGTAAGAAAAGAAGGCAGATATAGCTAAAAAGGGCAAGTACGGCTAAAAAAGGCAAGTACGGTAAACTTTAAAATATAGCCGGCATTTATAGCCGATATAGTAATAGGCGAAAGCCTCCTTTTAATAAATAGTTAGCGTAATAATAAGTCTAATAGGATAATAGAGCCTTAGTTAGAATACTTAGGATAAGGACCTCTAAGTATTATCCTACTATATAGCGATATACTAAGAATTAATATATCTAGATAGGCGGAAAGCTATAGAAGCAGGCTTAGCTTAATTAGTACAACCTAACGTATATAAGTTATAGAGACTTAATTTTTAGTTCGATATATTCGGAAATAGTAGCGCTATAAACTCTGTATATTAGATATACTAGCTTCTATTAGTATAGCGAGATCGTATTTTGATAGTAAAATCTATAATAGAAATTAGTAGTTTAGCTTTTAGCCTTTAGGTAAAGGATTAAATAAAGTAGTATATAATTAGTTATTTGGAAGTTAGTAAATAAGCCCTAAATTTAGACTATATTACGTGTGCTAATCTATCTACTACTACTACCGCGGAACGTAATCCTTAGTATATAAAGGCCTAGACGGAGGTAGTAGGCGGTTATAGAGGTAGAAAAAAATAAAGAAAAAAGAAGGGGAAAAACGCACTAAGTAACACCTAATAACGCATGTATCGACAGCCTTAAACTTTTACTCTCAATCTTTAATAGTAGTGCCTCTCGATTGCGGCCTTTGCTAACCGCGTGCTGATTAAGAGCGTCGTCTCTCCGGCTCCGATCGCGCGAGTCATGTGTAATGGCTACGCCATTCTTCCACTTCTATCCTTGATGTAATCAGACTCCATCCTCGCAATTTCAAGGGATACATTTCTTCAACAACATCTGCAGCCGTGCGGCGTAGTCCTTTCTGTGCCGCTCTCCTGCGCTACATCGCTTCACGCGCGCCAAATTCGATCATACCATTGGCGATATCCTGGTGTGGACAGCTCATCTCGTCCTGGGCAAGATGGCACGCATGGCAGGCGCCGCGCTTGAGGGATCCGGAGAGGGCACAAGAGCAGGACAGACTGTCGAGCCACGGGCGAGCTTCTTGGTTTGCAATCCATCTTCAATGCACGGTGTGCCGTTACATTCATTTCCATGGGCGGCACAATGCTCTTCATATTATCACTCGGCTTCTATTCTTTCGCAATCTCTCCAAGCGTCACGTCTGCGTCCCCGTGTTCAGATCCGACACCCATAGCACTGCCAACTACTAATGTACATTTATCTAATGGCAAGTCAATGCGAGGCATCCCAGCTTCCATCGGAACACCCGAGCAGCACTTCTCCTTCATGATCCATGCGTAGGTGGTCCCTCACTATATGATGCGGGCCGCGCAGCTGATGGCCTTTCGAGATATCTCAACGACACCTGGGTAAGGTCGCAACACGCGCCAGACCTTGGGACTGCCAGCTGAACGCCAACAGGCCTACAACTCTAGCTCACCATTCTGTTTCGACAATTCGACGGAGGCACAATGTCTGATTCAGCGAGGAGGCTTCTATGATCCGAAATCCTCATCAACATTCGAAGCCAAACTTGGCGTGCACGAGGCTGGAGGAGATCCAAGCGATGTCGCACGAGCTATAGGCACTCACATCTGGTTTAGCGACTGGTTCACAGATCGTTTTGCTCTGGCAAATACCTCGCTCGAGCATTTCCCGATTGGAATGCCAGGCTTCGACTTTGGAGGACGTTTCGACACACAGAACAATATAGGCTTAGGACAGAATTCCACGATACTCAAGGCACTCAAGAATTCGGGACGCATCTCTTCCCGATCCTGGTCGTACTGGTATGGTATAGAAAGCGCAACGAGTTCAGCAGCAAAGGATGGCCAGATTGTGTTCGGAGGTTACGACGCAGCGAAAGTCACAGGCCAGAACTTCACACAGCCACTCGGCAAGCCATCTCCTGCCTGTCTGTCAGGCATGTCTGTGATTGTGACTGGCCTGGGCCTCGACTTTCCCAATGGCACCAAAGCTGACCTGCTGGCTGGTTCCTCGTTCTCAGCTTGCTTCCAACCAGACTTCCCAGAAGTTATGAACATACCGAGCGTATACTGGGACCGCTTGATTGAGTCCACCAACACAGTCCCGTACGACAATAGCTCGCTTGGTGTACATTGGTTTGCGCCGACTTGGAACCCGCAGGCTGTGTATGTGCCACTGTCAAAGACATAGAGACATCTTGCTGACGCCTCACAGCTACGCAGGCGACCTCACAATCAGTCTTAGCAATGGATTCAGCACCACCATACGCAATGATGCACTGGTTCTACCGGATCAATACGTTGATCCTTCGGGTGCTCTCGTGTCAAATTCTTCGGCATCCACAATTCTTATGGCCCCACTAGAGAACGTCAATTCCAACGACGTTCCCATTATCGGAAAAGAATTCTTCTCGTCTGCGTATATGATGGTAGACCTTGACGCCAGTACTTACACACTGTGGCAAGTCAACGATACCACCGAAACGCGACTCATATCCGTGGGTGGCAGTTGCTCAGAGCATATCGAAATTAACAGCAATGATACTGCGCCCCCCACAGCCACCGCCACTGGTGCAGCTTCCACTGGTACAAAGGTTGCAAAGTCTGGGAATGCATTCTCCGCCGGGGCACTAGTCGGCATTGTCGTGGGCAGTGCCGTTGGTGCCAGTGTCATCGCTGCCGTTGCTGTGCTCGTGGTCATGAGACGAAGGCGAAATAAGATAACAAGTGCTACTGAACTGACACCTGCGAGTGGACAAGTGTTCGATCAAAGTCGCTCTGGACCTCCATCATACCAGGATCATCGAGGACACGGTTATGGGCTAGCAGAAGTCCCTGCAGTAGATGCAGTTCCTTACGAGTTGACTGGCTTTCACAAACCGCAAGAACTGTCAAATAGGCGCACGATGAGATACGAGCTTGGTTCATAGACATTTGGTCAGGCAGACACTGATACATTTTCCGCCAGCATAGTCCCGCTTTTATATTCTTGCGTTCGAGGATGTCTTTATGAGCTTCAACCTTTCCATATGCCGACTACTCAGACAGTGCGAAGATATGGGTACACTTTTCAAGAAACATCAAAGAGGACGGCCTCCATATTTCAACACTCCACGACATTCTTCCTTCCCTAGACAGGCGTACCAACTACCCTAAAAGGATGCGCCTCAGTATTATACACCCAAGTATTCTTCAACCCCGTCCTACTATCCTGCACATGCATCTCACTCCTATCATCTTCCAGATGTGCCAGCCAGGTATACTCAAAAACTTCCGCGAAAAGGAAACTCTCCTGCTGGTCCAATTTCTTTCCCCCTCCAGGTAAATTCACGTCTTGGATAGCACTGAATCCCGTCTCGGTCTTGCAATGCGTCGTAATCGCTTCGAAGGCTTCCCAGATCCATTCCCTATATTTCGGATCCTTTGTTGCTCGGAAAGCATAATACCATGTCTCCAAGACTTCGGGCCGGAGTTTGAATTCGCCGCTTGTGATTCGCATGGAGTTTTCGGCGTTGCAATTTGCGGCCCAGTCTCCTGTGCAGTCGGTTGTCCAGCCGGTGAACTCTCCGCCGAGGCCGGTGAGGGTCGAGTGGTAGATCTCGCCAGCGGTGTTGGCGACTGAGAGGCCATAGTCGATGAGGGTTTGGTTGTTGGTTACCATGCCGCCGAGAATCATGTTGCCGCCGACGAACCATGAGAGTGAGTCCATGTAGTTGAACGTTTTGTCGCCTTCCCAGTAGGGAATTAGGGTCCATTCTGGATGGCCGTATGGGTGGGAGCCGATGTACCTGCAGCAGGTCAGCATGAAACAAAGCCAGAATCGGGACACATTGTGCTTTTATACCTAATGGTCGAGTCGGCGGCTGCTAGCCAGCGTTCGAGGTAGAATGGGAACTCCTCTGAATTGTAGACGTAGGCTTTGAGCAGATACTCGTAGAACGCTCAAGGACGTGTTAGCTATGGCCGATGCACCGTAGACGTGAGCAGAAGAGCTTACAGTCTGCCAAAGATCCCCAGCTGCCTTTTGTATTAATGAGATCACCATCGGCAACAGTTAGAAAAGATCCCAAAATCCCAGGCCAGATCTCGTACTCGCTCGGATGAGGGTTGAGAAGGTACGACTCAGCTCTACGAGCAAGTCGAGCATACTTTTGGTCTTTGGTGATGTCTGACAATCTGCTAAACTCCAAGATCAAAGTACCTGCTCCTGCAACTGTGTTCGAGGTGCCGTCGTCAGACTTGCATAGAGCTGGATCAACCCAGTTCCGCGGCACACCGGACGGAGTGTCGAAGGCGCAACTCAACGAATCCCCAAGCTTGATCATTTGAGAGTACAGGGACTTCATCAAGGCCTCATCCTTTGCCATTGCACGATATGGACCGTTCAACAGATCCCAGGCCGAGATCAATCCAGCGAAATGTCGGATAGTCACTTCGAACATCTGGATTCTGGCACCTCCTGCAACTTTGGTAAAGTCCAGCGTTGAGATGCATTTAAGAATGCGGTTCACTACATCGCCTTTTCCCAGCATGATTGCAGTCGAGATTGAATCAATAGTAGTCGCACCCCAGCCTCCGAAGCCGTTGTCACATGTGTTGCTTACGGGGTGAAATGTATCGCCTCCAAAGCAATGTGTAGAGTACCCATGCCAGGCATGTTGGAAGGCATCAGAGACTGCATCTCTCCTTTGCGAAAGAACAGTTCGATTTACGCCGTTGTTGTCTGGATGCTGCGGTCAGTATAGTTCCTGTCAGAGCTGATCACAGCCTCCTGCTTGAACAGGGCCATGTTAGACGTCTAATCGGAAAAACCCACCTTGTCCTCCAAGAAGTGAGGTATACCAAAACCAGAAGACCAAAAGCGTACAGCAGGCTACGACAATCCTTCTGGGCGAAGTTCGTAAGCCCATACCTGTGTACCAAAAGATCCAAGGTCAGAAGTATTGCAGAAGTCGTTTCATCATCATCTCAAGAGGTCTCGTCCAGGCAAGATACTACCCAGTAAGTTCGACAGACGCGCCCAAGCATATGTCAATGACTGCATGGCATTTGACGCCAGAAGCAGAAGCCTGTGCTGTGCTATTGTAGGTGTACATAGCGTCGCTTGAATGAGACGCGAAACGCCTTTCAATAAGGGTGCGGTGCAGACCTTGCCGGCGCTTAAAAAGAAGCTTCTTGCTCCGTTGGCAAAAATTGTGGCACGGAAAAACACAAGGCCCGTGCTTTTCCCGCTCTTCACGAGTCATTTGCGCTTCACATGCAACTTGGAACTTTCCCTCACTTGACTTGCAACTTCAAAAGCGGGCCTGCAACCAACACCTCGAACAACCATCTGCCGCGCAGCGTATTGAGCGTGTTCCACCCACCCGTCGAGACTCAACCGCGACCACACACGACCACCACATCATACCATCATCATGGGCTCCGTCGTCATTCCTCACTTGGTGACGGGCTGGCATGTCGACCAAGCCATCATGTCTGAAGAAGACCGCCTCGTGGTCATTCGCTTCGGTCGCGACTGGGACCCAGACTGCATGCGCCAAGACGAAGTGCTCTACAAGATCGCCGACCGCGTCAAGAACTTCGCCGTCATCTACGTCTGCGACCTCGACCAAGTGCCCGACTTCAAGCAGATGTACGAGCTTTACGACCCAGTCACACTCATGTTCTTCTTCCGCAACAAGCACATGATGTGCGATTTCGGTACCGGAAACAACAACAAGCTGAACTGGGTGTTGGAGGACAAGCAGGAGTTGATTGACATTATCGAGACCATCTACAAGGGCGCGAAGAAGGGACGTGGTTTGGTGGTCTCGCCAAAAGACTACTCTACCCGCTACCGATACTAGGCGCGATCGTTTCAAGGTCTGGGAGAGACTGATCCGAGACGCTACTACACGAGTCAGATGATGACTCTCATGGCCGGAGGTGTTTTGGGAGTATTATGGATGGTTCGTCACACAGGCAGAATTACCTATATTCAGACAGAAGCTGACGAGAATCAAAATAAAGCTTTCAAAACTGTGTTCATGTCCGGACACCGTGAAGCTCTAATCCACAGTCCCATGTTGCATATCGGATGCCGTCCAGCACGTGGCTGCGATCAAAGCACGCGTGTGCGACCCATTCGTCCAAATGGCGCCACCTCAGCGCAATGGCTTTAGCATCTCCACCGATGCGCTTCTGTGCCTTGCGATATAATAGCGTATAATCTAGGTTTATTACTTTATCGACTGGGAGGCGACCAAGAAGCGAGCCGCCGCAGCACCGGCCACCACTCCTCTTGAAATTCTGAATATCAAGACGGAATTATGAGCACAATAGGCGCGTGCTGCACTCTATCGCGATCTGCCCGGAGTCCGCTCTCAAGTAGAAAATCGGTTGGTTTCGGTTGATCTGCACGTGACCTGCAAAAATCCAGCTTCAATCGCGAGCTTGGGCGAGCTTAGTATTGCAAGCAACAGCAACAGGTGAGCCGACGAGCTCAAGCTGTCATGGTATGCGGAGGACATTTCGAGGCTCCGCTTTGGAGATGCAGGGTAGCACACCTGAGCACAAATCGAAAGCAAGCCACGATGTCTATATATATTTCATGCCATCTCCAAGGTTTCTCTTTCTCCCATACCGATAGCTCAGTACTGATACCGACAGCGCGAAATTTCACTGCAGACCACAGCAGTCTCTCCGTCTACAGGAGAAGCCTGAGCCGTTCGAAAATGCCTTTGAGGGAAGCTTCCACCATCAGTCAAGGGCTATCCAAAGGGAAGAGTTCTTCGTACAGAATTGTATAACCAAGATACTGGCGTCATGGAGAACGCACTTGTGAAGGAGATCAACTTGTACAGCCGCAGGCGGTCTGGTTACATGTACGAGCAAGGTTACCGCCGATTTCGACGCTGCAACGCGAATGCAGATGAAGTCAAGTTTAGGGTTGAAATCAAAAAACGGGCGAGATGGTTCAAAAGTTCCGGGACTCGTGGATGAAGCCAGGCGTACTGCAGCCGCTTGACATTGCTTACTGGCAGGACGTCGCCGCCAAGGCCGGATCTCCCTGGAGGGTACGACAAGCATCCTCAGGACGACCCAGGGAATCGTGCTCGATGGCTTAGGTCAAATGATTCCAAGGGTCGGAGATAACATTGTTAATGTCAGACCTGTGTCACGCGCGGGAAGTGTCGTGAGTTTTGCACTGGAGAGAATTGAGGAGTCAGTGTTCGGGTGGGCGAACTTTCCGCTGCCGCAGTTGATGGAGCTGCAGTTCTCTTGGGTGCTGCTGGCGATCTGTTGACCATTGATGTCTTCTAGGATGGGGAGGGCGAGCATGCTCCGAGGTTGGTTCCGAGGCCATCTCCGACTCCATCTCCCGGCCGTGGTGAAGATCCATCGAGGACGATCCATACTGCGAAGACGCCCTCTTCTACCACTCAATTCCCGACCACAAATCCTGAGAGCGCCACTGGGAGTCCTGACCCGAGAATGACAACGTCGAAGTCCACAATGACCTCGATCAATCTCAATAGCTCCACACCCTCAACATTCAGCATAATTCCAACTTCCTCAACTTCCTCAACACCCCTAATCGATCCAAGCTTTCCTCCACCGAGCAACACATCCGACCTAGTGAACATGCCACAAGACCTCCCAAGCGGGCTCCAAAATGATCCTTCCCACCCCAATACAAGTTGCTGCAGCGAATACGCTATATATGGTGAAGCCTTCCAAGTCCAAAGATTCCACTGGAATCCCCAGAATTTGAAACGTCGGATCGAGCATTGTGGAGCGGTGACGGGGTTTGAGTTTGGGCAAATCAAGGGAGCACAGAGTTGGTGGGCAACGGGAAATCTTCCTTTGCAAGCACTTCATAAAGATGATCAGAGATGTTTGCATCATGCTTTAATGAAGGCTGGTGGACCGGATGTTAAGTGTAAGGTTGATTGTGATGCTTTTGCGTCTTGGTTTCCTTCTAGGCCTTTCAAAAGGATTGGGGAGGGATCCGGAGACGTTGGGTGGTAGCGTGAAGGGGATTAACTTAAGTAGACATTTTCTTTTACATAAAAAGAACTAGACTTTTCTCTTTCCACAAACATCTCCAACCCAAATTTCTTATTATAACCCTCTCTCTCTCTCTCTCTACTTACTCCCCCCCTCAACAAGAAGCTCCGGCCTCACCCCAACAAACCAAACCCTCAACCCTAGCAACACCCCCATATTCACCACACCAGCCAGCATAACCCTCCCACGAAACCCACTCTCCTCTTCCCCCTGCAAATAAGCCCAAAACATCAAACCCCCTAAGAAAACTTTCGCAGCTCCCATAGTAATATACGTAGCTCTTCGAAACCCGATCTGTCTCTGGCTTTGAGGTAAGGGGATGGAGAGGATTAAAGGGACGGTAAAGGCTCCGAGGAGACCTCCGAACTAGCGGGTTAGGGTTAGGGTTGAGGGGGAGGTGGTCGAAGGCGAGGTAAGGAGGAAGGAGGTTGCGTAGGAGGGGTAGAGGAGGAGAGTAGGGAGGGAGGAGAGGTTGGAGAAGATTTCGAGGTAGAGGGCTAGTTTGAAGGGTGGGAGGGCGAAAATTGTTGTAGACATGGCGATAGAGGTTTTTGATGAGGTATCTGTTAGTTGTGGGATTTAATGTTTCTATGCAGGCTAGTGGGCTTGAGAATGGGAAATGGAGTGATTTGAATATATGCTTATAATGAGCAGAGCTACGTGTACTGCTCGCGTTATAAAGCCTAGGAGTGAAGCCTTCGGGGACATGTGTGCATATTGCAGGGTCACTAGAGACTGCATCTGGAAAGCGGACGGCTTGACCGGCATTTACGCTAGCTGACATTCCTTCAGGCTGATCATATACGCCATGTCGTTCAGCCCTACAACATGCATAGTGTCTTGGGAGGAGGATGGAGGGCGTTGTGGATGATGACACACGAGACGAGGTTCAAAGTCCGAAGGAAGGAAGAAAGTCATATACTAGGGCTGATTCTTTTGCTCCATTGGGTCAGTCCTGCACAACGACACAACTGCACTGTGACTGCATTTCGGCAACGATCGGACTTCTTCCTCGCTCAACGAGACACGCGAGACCAAGCAATCTTAGCCAACGGTGGCCTCGAGAGAATCCGTTTCGATGCAAAGACTACACCTGCACCATCCCAACGACCCCTCACCCTACAACCGGCTCAGCACCATTGCACTCCGCCTCAACACTTTCCAAACTAATATCCCGAGCCGCCACTCCAGCACCGAATTCTCTTACCGCTTTCGCTCCCAATTCCTCATATGCCATCCAGTCCTGCCCCTTCAATCCATTCACAGGATCCTTCGCAAAAGCAACCCAAGCATCTTGCATAGCACAACTCGTCTGATACTCCAAGTCCGTACTCGCGCCGCGATAGTCAGGATGTGTGCCGAAAATCAATGGCAATTCCGCAGAATGGTAAGCGCCCATCCAGGGTTTGGGAGAGATGTTTGTAAAGTTGCCAGAATAGCGATAGGCATAAGTCAGCCTGCCTGTTGTTTGACGGAGACGGATAGTTTCTGTAGCAGGGCAGAAGAAAACTCTGAGGTAAGCTTCGTTGGCGAGAGTCAAGTTGGGACCATTGGGGTTGTATGGTGCAAAAGGAACTCCGTCTTGGAGATTTGTGCCGATGATGGCTGGAATGTTTGCTTGTTGGCCTGAGAGAGCGCGGGAAGTGTAGTTGGCAAAGACTGATTTACCGTCTGAGATAGGTCCAAAAGATAGGCCGGGTGATGATCCGCTGTCAGAATAGTTTGCAACGAAGTTCTCGATCTTGCTGGCGTCCAGACTTCGCATGTAGGATAGCACGGCTGCAGAGTCGCTGCTCGAGCCCGAGTATCCAAGCTGTGTGGCTACAAATGTGAAGTTGATACCGGTGGAATCACCGCCAATCGGCAGTAGTGCGGTGCCAGATTCCATGATCAGGCCTTTCACGATAGGGTCTTTGGGGTAAGCATAATTGTAAAAGTCCACAGAACCCGCTCCTGCTGATTGTCCAAAGATGATCATCTGCTCTGGGTCGCCTCCAAATGCTGCGATGTTCTCCTTGATCCATTCCACAGCAGCTCGCTGATCAAGGAGGCCAAGGTTTTGGTCTTCGAGGCCTTGTGCGCCCGGGAAGCCGAAAATGTTAAGTCTGTAATTGAATGAGACCACAATGTGACCGGGACTTCTGTTCACCCATTGAGCCGGGATTTGATATGGCACGTCCTGGCCACCATTCGACCAGCCGCCTCCATACATGTAGATAAGCACAGGTAAGCCAACCCAGCTCTTCTGGTCATGAATCGTTGGGGTCCACACAGACGCAGTCAAGCAGTCTTCAGACGTAGATCCAGTCCGATTCAAGCCTTGCAGGTTGAACTCCAGCACCTCCCTAGTATACAACGAATCGCCCCTACTGGACAGGAATTGATTACAGCTTGGTGGCAACTCTGTGGCCTCGATCATGGCATCTGGCTGTGAAAGGGCTTCAGGCGCACTCCAACGTAATGATCCCGTCGGTGGTTTCGCGAACGGGATGCCCAAGAACTGACGCACGTTCGGAAGTCCCGCATCGATCTTCCCGTGAACATGTCCAGAAGTTGTCGCAACGTTCAGCTGGTCTTGGCCATGGCCCCGGTATCCTCCCTCACCTCCATGATGTCTCCAAGGCGGTCCAGCACTTGCAGAAGCCAGGAAGGCGGCTAAGGCCGTGAGAGCAAGCATGGCGGCGTGATGAGGATGAAAGTCAAAGTGGGCTACTTGCCTTGCCATGTAGTAAAGGACGACGTCGAGATAGCCGTTACGCTATAATACTACACTGCTGAAGCCTATACCGGATAGGTATGCCGACAAATGCCCATGACCAGCAGCACTTCTTGACGATGGATGCAACCCCTCTTTTGCGCACTGTGGGCGGTAACCATTCTCCCGTAAGACTCCACTTTGTGCGTCGGAGAGTGCCCGGTGCGGGCGCATTTGTTGTCTTCGTCTGGCGGATACGTGGGAGGCTGGCTGGCTGTCTGCCCGTCTGTCTGTATGTGCGTGTGTGCAGCGCGAAGGAGGTGAGCGAAGAAGGGAAGGGAAGGTTGGATGGAAGGTTTCAGGGTTTCGCTGACAAAGCACGCACGCTAGAATAGAACCGCTTTTGTGATCCTCAACTCATCTGTGCACAAGGACCTACATCCTGACGAAGACGGGCATCGTGTCAATCGGCGCATCAACCTCAACCTCCTTCCCTCCCTCAAACTTCTCCTTCCCATCCCAAGTCGTCCAGTCTGCACCCTTCGGAAAATACACCTTGACCTTCCTCTTCTTCGCCTCCAAAACCGGAACAACCAGATACTTCGACCCATACATATACTCCGTCTCAAGCTCCCACGCCCTCTGGTCCGCAGGAAATTCATAAAACAGCGTCCTAATAACCGGCGACCCCTTCTCATGCGCCTCCTTCATCAAAGACCTCGTATACTCTCTCAATTCCTCCCGGATCCCAATATACTTGACGCAAATCCCATAAACCTCATCACCATAGCTCCAAATCTCATTCGGAGCTCCGGGAGCAGTCGGTTGATCTTGAGGCTTAGGTTCACGATCTCCGTGCAAACGCATCACGGGACAGAAAGCACCCCATTGGAACCATCGAACGAAAAGTTCGCGGAATTCGGGATCGTTGGGATTCCCGCCGTGGAAACCGCCGATATCTGTCGTCCACCATGGGATCCCCGCCATTCCCATATTCAAACCTGCGCTGAGTTGATTCCGGAAAGATGCCCATGAAGACGCGATATCGCCCGACCACACCAGCGCACCATATTTCTGCGAGCCCGCCCATGCGCAGCGGAGGAGGTTCAAAATATTCGTTTGTCCGGCTGCCGTCTGCCCTTCGTAGAAACCTTGAGCATAGGATTTCGGGAACTGGTTTCCGATCTGTAGGACCGGACCGATATGATAACGGTAATTATCGAATTGGTAAATCGAAAATTCGGGTTCTGCTTCGTCGAGCCAGAAGACTTTGATGCCGATGTCAAAATAAGATTTCTTGACTTTGGACCAGACGAATTCTCTGGCTTCGGGGTTCGTGGCGTCGAAATGTGTGACATCGCCATCGCATTGCATTGCGACTCGTACGCCGCGATCGTGCCGGATGAGGAGCCCTTTTTCGAGCATTTCGTCCCAGTTCTCGCCTTTGCTGTCGACGGTGGGCCAGATGGAGACCATGAGTTCCACGCCCATTTCTTTGAGCTCGGCCATCATGGCTTTGGGATCGGGCCAGAATTCTGGATCAAACGACCATTCGCCCTGGTATTTCCAATGGAAGAAATCTATCACGATGAGATCTAAGGGGACTTTTCGCTTCTTGTATTCACGGGCGATGCCGAGGAGCTCGTCCTGGGATTTGTAGCGGAGCTTGCATTGCCAGAATCCGAGACCATATTCTGGCATAATGGGGACGTGACCTGTGACGGAAGCGTAGGCTTCTGTGGTTTCTTTGGGAGAATCTCCTGCTACGATCCAGTAATCTATCACTTTTGTCGAGTAGCTCTCGAATGAAATTACGTTCTTGCCCAGCACGGCTCGGCCTACAGCGGGATTGTTCCATAGGAAACCGTACCCCAAGCTGCTCACAGCAAAGGGAACGCTGGCTTGTGAGTTTCGCTGGGCAAGCTCGATATCTGTGCCTTTGAGGTTGAGATACGGTTGCTGATATTGACCCATGCCATAAATCTTCTCATCAGGATCCAGACTTTCGAGACGAAGCGTGGCGTGGAAGTCTCCTCCGGGTATACCTTTGAGCTCCCGAGCCTGGATGTCAAGCGCACTACATTTCGGATCCGTGAGGTCTAAGCGGTGCCGAGCGTATTCTTCTAGCAGCTTGTTGCCTTTTGAATTGGTCATGATGATCTTCCCTCGTCGGGAGACTGATGCTGTGATGTTGCCATTGGTGATGGTTGCAGAGCCATCTTTGTCGTTTGGTAATATGATCTTGACGGCAGAGCATGTGTCGACTACTGCCTCGCTGAGAGCCCAGTCATCCGTTGGAAACGCAGCAAGTTTTGTAGCTCGCACTCGAAAGGCATTTGTGCTCCATGGTTCGATCCAGAGGAGATGGTCGTCGTGACGGAAGATGAGCTTTTTGCCGTCCTGGGTCAACATTTTGAGTGATATACGTTCTTGCTTCTATGTATCTCAGTTATTTTCGTGTTTGATCATTGCAAGAGCACAAGTCTTGACCATTATAGCATCTATGAGCGGGCATTTGCAGACTAAGCATGCGGTGTAGTTCTAGCTGAGATCCCGGAGGGTGATTCGATGCCCTGCTAACTCTGGTTAAATCGCTCGGTAGATCTCGTACCGAGTACATTAACCAGAAACTACGCTTTGTGGAAAGCGCAGTATTGCTTGCGGGAGTCACAAGCAGCATCGTGAACGTGAAGTGTGCCCCGAAGCTCTTTGGCTGCTGAACTCGATTCCACTTCATCAAGGTGTCTTCCCCAGTTGCCTCCACTCGTCCTCCAGCATCGAGTAGATGTAATCTTCCCAGAAGCGGCCATCATGCCAGACTTAATCCCGCAGCCTAGCCTCAAGCACAAATCCTAGCTTCTCGTACAACTTGATCGCACTGGTGTTGAACTCGTAGACAGTCAAGCTGATCTTATGCAGACCAGCTCGTCGAAAGCCCCGATCCAGAAGCCAGCTGACAGCCTCTTTTCCAAAACCACGACCTTGATACTCGCGCTTGATGTTGATTCCGATTCTTGCATGCCGAATGTGCTTTCCATTGGGAGGTATGTTGGCGTCCTTCATGGTGACCAGACCGATGGGCACGTCTGCATCACGAACACATATCATTGCGGCAAGCATGCATTTTTCGAAGTGTTCGCGATGTTGAGGTGCACTCTTCTTGCCTTGCGGTACGGGAAGCCATGGAACGGTATTCTGGTATGCTTCTGGATCCTGGTGGAGAGACACGAGGAATGGGTCATCTGATTCCTCGATGGCGCGGTATATCAATCGCTCGGATGTGAACATGTGTGCCATCTGGATTAATGTCTATTGTCAAATTTTGTCGAGATGCTGGAAAGATCATGTTGTTGTTGAAAAGAATAGTAGGATGACTCATCTCTCTAGCAACTGCGAATGCCGCTGCACGCATGCCATTCTGATCAGTTTGAGCCCGACCTCCAATCACCTGATGGCTCTGTCACTTCTGAGCATGCATGGCTCCGATGCCTTCATGAGCATCTCGAAGCAGCTCGATGAAGATAGACAAGATACGGAGGACGCGGCACGGCGAAAATGATCTCACGCTCGGCGCCGAGAAATCCAAGCTCCCGGCACGGGATCCCGCGTCCAGTCCGAGACTTTAGTAAGCAATTGTGGCCAAACGGTCTTTCGAGATTCCATTTGTTTCCTGCACACACAATGTCTCCTGCAATGATATCGAGAGTGCATACACATGTTGCGATTGCTCGTCAGGAGGTCGTTGGGGAGTATACCAAGACAGAATCAGGCCGAGAAACTACGACCACGAGGGTTTACGACGACAAGAATGGCCGAACAGAACGACGACGCACTCCAGAAAATGTCGGCAGAAGAAATTCCAAAAGCATCGGAACCGACAGAAATCGCTCCAACAACAACAGAGAAGGAAGGAGAGAAGTTACCGAAACTGAGTCCTCAAGACTTCAGAGTCTACAACCGCATGGCCGAACATATGGACCTATTCCACGAAAATTTCCGGCAAACGTGGAATACCCTCTACCACGCCGCCTCAACCAATTCTCGCCCAAACGGAATGTCAATCCGGCAATTTTTGGCTTTGGCTGAACAATTCTCTCACCACCTCACTGTCCATCACACGATTGAAGAACAACATATCTTTCCTGTATTAGCGAGAAAAATGGATGTGTTCAAGAATAAAGAGCATCTTTTGGAGCAGCATAAGGGGATACATCAGGGTTTGGAGGGGTTTGAGGAATATATCGCGAAGTGTAGGAGCGGGGAGAAGGAGTTGAGGTTGCAGGAGTTGAAGGAGTTGATGGATGGGTTTGGGGATGTGCTCTGGACGCATTTGGATGATGAGGTTAGGACTTTGGGGGCGGAGAATGTGAGGAGGTATTGGACGTTGGAGGAAATGAGGAGGTTGCCTATGTGATGAGGAGGACGCTGATATGAAAGATGAGGAGATAAATATATGGTTGAGATTCTGCTTGATTTGTCTTGTGAGATACCCATTTATACATGAGTGATGCGATGAAGAACGAGGTCATGCCTTTTTCCTTGAGGCCGCGAACTTTTCGTGCCATTTCCGTTTGGCACCCAAGGACTTGGAGTCTGTTGTTGCGATGGTTGCTGGTGCAGTGTCGATGTATTTGATCATGCTGCCACCATCTTGCAAAGCATAGGAACCCTGAAGTGCAGTGAATTCACATTTGTCCCGCCAGGCTTCCGGTAAGACATCGCGCCATGCTCTGAGAAATCCTGTAGCTTCAATCGCTCTGCCTTCGGATTTGGCCTGAAGGAGATTTATGCCTGCAAAGCGGACGGCTTTGCTCTCGTCAAGCGCGAAGTGTCCGCCTGGAGTCAGACTTGAACCGCCTTTGAGGACGCTTGAGACCAGCTCCGAGGGCCAGTCTTGACAAATGTCCATCGCGAAGGCTGGGATGTCGTCGTCAGGAAAGGGATCGGTCAAGCTGATGCCGTCTGCTGTAGCGGCCGTAAGTGCGAGTTGCCATATCTCAGACTTCACCTTCGCGCTGGGCACATAACAACCTCGAGGGTGCGGAGATTCAAAGCATGCCAATTCTGACCAGCCCTCCTCGCATTCAGCTTGGCTGAGCGGGATGTGAGCGAACAGTTCGGCTTTAGTGACCGGAACAGCCGATGCATAGTTGCCATTAGACGAGAACACCGGAAGGGCAGTCTTGATAAATGGCACAGCAGACTGCTTCGTGGTGGATAGCAGCTCGATAGTGGTATCGCATTTCGCTACGGCCTCGACTCCGATCGTGGGTGGGCCACCTCCTGGATCTTGTTTCTCGGTTGTCTGGGTCAAGTAGACACTATTGGATGTGCTGACTTGTCGAACATTGTAGGTCCTGTCTGGAGTGCAGAGGACGACGTTCGCATCTTTCGCATTCCCTGCCAAGTCTTCTTTCGACTTCAGCTGCAATCTGTTGAAGGGCTCAGCGATTGCGACAAATGGAAAGCGGGCTATTTATCTATACCTTGGTGGGCATTCTCCAGTGAGTAGTGCGAGGAGCTCTGGAGGCAGCTCGAGGAGACGTACATGTTGCAGGTCAGATTCCGGCAAGACGCTTATTGGCACGCCAGCTTCTCGGTCTTGCGTCGACATTTTCTTGAAGGTGAAAAGTGAAAAGTCTTGGACATGTAAGTTAGTTTGGAGAGGAGGAGGAGAAGTGAATAATAGCCCGGTTCTGAGTGATTACGCGCCTGCTTCGCGACTTTGGGTTTGACGCTAGACAGGGAAGCTGGACAGGGAAGCTGCATCCTGTGCCACAACAGACGCCGTGTCTGCTCATCAATCCATTGTTTACCTTCCTTGTGTCGCATTGCATGAGAAGGACGCGACTTTTGGTAAACAACCCATGTTCACGAATCTCCTCCTGTCCACCGAGCATCGCATTAGACGGCATTCACGACTATGATGACGATGAAGTAACAACCAGACATTCGGATACAGCACAACACCCAGCACTTTTCGCCAGCGCATGAGTGGCACATCGTCGCCTGATACCGACGCATGAGTAGCGGTGTGCTATGGCCATCGTAATCGCCTCGCCGCCAGCTCTCTCCGGCGACCTTTCTCTCTTCCATACTACCGACCCGCTCCTGGGCAACAATCCGGTGTTGGTGTTCTATGGCCCGGCGGCGACCATCGGCGCGACGAGTTCGCGCATACAAGTGCATGTCTTTACACCCGCCGGCTTGGCTTCATACGCGCGTCTGTCAGTATCGCCGAACTCGCCATTCTATTCCGCAGTGAGCAATCTGCCGCGAGAAGAGCAGGGAGATGAAGTGTGTCGCGGACTTGCGTTTGGTCTGAAGAAGTACTTTACCGAACTTGGAGACGGCGTGAAGAAGACATGGACTGCTCAAGTCAAGGCGCCATCTCCAGGCGCATTGTTTGGCGACGATCACATTGCCATTTTGGCGACACGAATGACCAAGATCGAGAATGTGCACGATGTGATTGGAGATATACTGGACGCGTTCTGCGAGCAGCGACTGTCTTGGGTAGATGTCGATGTGGTTCTGCCGCCTGGGTCAATCAAGGAGCGACCGAGTTCGTCGGATGGGTCAGAAGATCTAAGCGATTTGGAGATTTTGAAGCGACAGTTTGGTCGATATGCTGAGCTGGTGCACGCGTTTGGCGAGATCACTTTTCTTCCCACTTCGCGACTAAAACGAGCTCCGTCGAAGGCGAATGCCATTGGAAGGACAGCATCGTTTCTGAGATCACAGAAGGAGAATGTGCGCAAGCAATTGGACGAGTTGGTGGGGACAGAGCAGAATTACGTGAATCGAATGAAGGAGCTGCAAGATCTCTCTGGTAATATTGGAGCAGATCTGAAGGACAGACATCAACAGCAGCTTTCTGTTGTGTTCTCGCCCTCCATTGGCAAGATCGTCGAGCTCAATTCTGCTTTTGCGGAAGAAATTAGCAAAGTCGTGGAAAGTACGCATTCACATGCCCAGGAAGACATTGAAAGCTCGCAGGACGATCTGTCGACACCACAAGCTACTCCACCGCCGGATTCGCAAGGCCTCGATCAGGTTGCGCAATGCCTTTGCGAATGGCTTCCGCAGTTTGCGGAGGCATACCAAGAATACATGAGCTCACACGCACAAGCCTCGCAGACATTGAGGACATTACTACGAGCTCAGGACAGTCTTGCACAGGAACTCCAGGAGATCGGCGAACAGAAGCTGACATCACTATTGATCGAGCCAATTCAGCGACTACCCAGATACAACTTGTACATCGACAGCATCGCGAAACAGCTTCCAGTCAAGCATCCAGCTCTGAAGTTACTCCTCAAGGCTCGAGACATAGTCACCGGAATCTGCGCCGAGAATGAAGGAACGGAGGCTGCAGCAATGGTCGAACGGCTTCGGACACGAACGATGGGATGGCCACTGGATATTGACGTATCTGGGCGTCTCGTTGCAGCTGTTGACTACATAGAGCTTATGCCGCCATATGCCTTCGAGGGCTGCGATGGTGCGCGAGGAATGTTGTTTCTATTTACGGATGGTGTCATCATGGTGGAGAAATCGCCCACATCTAAGGCGTCAGCCCGGACGCTATTGACCGAGATGGGGAGCGGATCGCTACCCAGCATGTCCGTCGAGAGTCTCTCTGATACGATCGGAGACTTACACTTCGTCCGACGCCTCCAGCTTGAAGCATTGCAATGTACAGAGAGCCATGATGGAAGCGCGTTACAACTCCTCACGTTCTTTCAGCTTGCCGCCGGAGCTCTTGGTGCCCAGGAACCAATCCTCGACAGCTGTCAGCTTCTAAGGTTGGAAGGTGCTTACGATGGACGTGTGTCTCGATTTGTGGAAGAAGTTGCTAAAGCCAGAGTGGAGAGTCGCTTCTCCGAAGCTGAGCGAGAATCATCGACCTGGGAATTTCGTGCCACCGATCCTGCGAGCGACTCCTTAAATTTACTCAGCGCCATTTTCGATGACTCTAACGTCGAGCACACTCGCTCGCGCGGGCCATGTGCGCCGATACGTGTTGTGGTAGACCCAGAACGACACCAAACCCAAGTGAAGCCCGGACATAGCGACGTCCGTACTGTCATTAATCTGGCGCCGCATCGTGATGGTGACTGGCGGCTAACAATTGATTCTATTGACGGCAACCTTGGTCGAGAACATTTTGATACTCCAGATCTTGTTCCAGCGTTGCGCAGGAAGATCGCCTCCCTTACAAGTGCTCGGTTGGCTATAGAACAGCCAGCAATGGCCGCTTGTATGATCATGAGGAACAGCGATATCTTGCAGTCAATCGGACTTCAAGCGGCAGGCCAGGCAGACTACCAAGTCAAGGCCAAGTTCACACCTCGCGAATGTGTACACCGTCCGAAGTCACCGAAGAAGCTGCTTTCCAGCTTCCTCTCAAGCGTTGGACCTGGCAATGAGCCGCCGAATCTCCTCCGTAAGGACCTGCCAAGTCTACCACCGCAGAGTCAGATTCCTCGCAAGCCCAGTCATGCCAGCTCAGCTTCATACAAACCACCCAGCCGGGAGTCTCGTCCAACATCAAAAGAAGGAGCTGCGCCATTCGCAATTACCACCGATCTTGCGGCAAACCAGCTGAAGAAGATGGAAGATACGCTCTCTGCATACATTCTCGCTCTGCAGGCTCGAAAGGGCAACATTGTCGGCAAGAACCTAAAGCTTCGTCTAGTTGCGGACCCTGGTCTTGTTGAAGAGCTCTACTCTGGCCTTCTGGAGGACCCGAACATGATGGTTCTGGCTGCTCAAGCGCCTCTCGATGTGCTGATGGCCGCGTTCGAGAAGTTCCTCAATATCGCGTGGAAAGACCACATCGGCCAAGTAATGCCGACATCCTTACTGCAAGACATACAAGCCAAAGCTGAAGCACTGTTCCCGAGCGAATTCGACGAATACTTTAAGAATGCGCTTGGACGGCTGGCTCCGCAGAACCAGCGAGCATTCAAAGCGATTATGAAGCTTCTCGCCGACTTGCTCGACGGCACAGGCAATGATGGCGATCGAGGTATTCTCACAGCATGCTTCGCAGAAGTGCTTGTGACCGATGGCAATCCCCATGACTACATTGCCTTGATTGATCGCTTCGTGGACGACACAGATACCTACTTTGGCGAGCCAGTAGATGTCAGTATGACGCATAGCTACAAGGACACTGGTTCTGTCAAGTCACACAAGAGAGCACGATCGGTCAACTCAGGCTCGCTAACGAGTAATACTTCCTCGCTGCGACGCAAATTTGGCCTGGGCGGTCTGACGAGAGAAAATAGCAAGTCTGAGCAGGAATCCAAGGTCGCATCTGTATGGAGAACTCTTAGCAAGAGCACGCGTGGCGAGTACAGTCCTGGCAATAGCATTTCCAAGGGCTCCCTCGGTCGTTCGCGGTCGATAGATATAGAGCCGCCGGCCTTGGGCATGCGACCACCTTCGCCGGACAGTAAGATCTCCGCGGCTTCCTTCGGAGATCTGCCAAATATTGTGCGGACGCCCAGCAGTCACAATCTTGGCTTGTCCACTATCGGTGAACATCCAAGCTTTATCCCACAAGGCCCGCCGAGAAAGAAGAGGCGTAGTTCGCTGTCTGATTTGAAGGTCCTGGAGACATCGCCAAAAAGAGAGACATGGTCAACGCCATCTCCCAGACGACCTGTCTTGACCCAGAAGGCCTTGGAAGAGAAGGCATTGCCCGACTCTCCCGCACGTTCAACTCCGTCGGGTGCTTCTTCAAGAGATAATACCGGCAGATTCGGCAGCCCTCTGCAAAAGACACCGCGTTCACGATTGCCTTCCTCATTCCGAAGGGAGCTATCGCCGGGACCCAGTCGAGCTCTGGGATCACAGCCGCCACCCGAACTACCGCGACCGAAGACAAGCGGTGGCGAGAAGCAAAGTGAGCTGCAAAGGCCGAAGACAAGTGGTGGCCCTGCAGACGAAGTCGTGATCACTTCTCGTCCAACGTCCAATATACCAAGCTTGGTACCAAGAGCCACTTCGCCCGCCAAGTTCACGCCGTCCACACCAAACCGCACTGGTCTTTCTGAACGACCGGGAGCTGGCAATATCGTGAAGAAGCCTTCGCCTCAATCGGAGAAGATTGGCCGAACTCGCAGCACTACTGTAGATGTGCCTGGCATTCCCCAGCCTTCGCCGAGCAGGAAATTGCGAATGCAGTCACCTCAGAAGCTCCGCGAACGGCTGCAAAACGAGCAGAATTCTATCGCGGCGGCGCAGAGCAGCATACAGGAGGAATTGAGCAAGATAGGAGATGAGCTCATATGCAGTACTAGTATGCGCAGTCCTGTTCGCGGAGGTAGCAGAACTGTCGGCGGTCGCGGCTCCTCCTCGCAGGCCAGCAACATGGACCTCGCACAGCGCGTGCTCAAAATGGAGGGTGCACTTCCGAAGCAGATGTCTGATCTCAACACTCGAGTCAACTCCATCCACACCGACCTCAGCACGAGTCTGACAGTCAGTGAGGCAAAATGCAAGAAGCTGGACGACCTATATCGCGAGGCGAATGGTGAGAATGAGGCACTCTATTCCAAGTTCAACGAGGAGTTGAGCAGAATTCTGAAGGCTGTCAGAGGTGGTGAGGGCGTTGAGGAGTTGAAGAGGAAATTAAAAGAGGCGCAAGATGAGGTCGTCATGCTCAGACGCGAGTGCAGCAGAGTGAAAAGGGAGAATGTTGGCCTTCGAGCACAGTTGAAGGAGTGAGTGAGTGCGTTGTTCTCTTTTGGGTCCAAGTCTCCCTTTGGCCACGGCGCAAGCTTGGGTATCACGAAGACGGGGTATCATGGCTTTGGAACGATTGATGAATTGTTAAGGGTATCGGTTTCATTGTTGTCACTCTCGTAGTTCATACTGCATAGATCAGACATGTATCTTGTAAAGCGATGCTATCCATCGAAGGCCTTTTCTGCATGCACCTCTTGACTCTCCACCTCTGCACTCGCGCTGCATTCTCCGCCTCGCACCATGTCCGCGTGCTCTCGCAGCACAAAATCGGAATGTCCCGTCTGCCGCGGCGCTGGAAACAGCCAATGCAAGCCTGCATGCACGGCACAAGCGCTGAAGAAGCCATAGAAGTATGTCATGTCATACACGTGGTCCCAAGCGATCGTGTCATCCCGAGTCTCTTTGACCGCCCGCACGAAGCCCGGCAGCGTTGGAGCGATGCCGATGCACCACGCGATGATCCCGCGCCAATTGAACCCCGCAGCATACCAGTAAGCACTCGAACGGTTGCCGCAGTACAAATCGCCGAGGTGGTAGTCTCGCCCTCGCACCAGGAAATAATCTCCAATCACGATTCCGGTCATGGGAGACAGGAAGACCGACCATCCGCTGAGCACAGTGATAAATGTCGTTGGCTTGGTCACATAGTTCCAAGGCACGATTGCAACCGAGATCACCGACATGAGATAGCCGCCTCGTCGAATGTTCATCCATTTGGGAGCGAGCGCGGCAATGTCCATTCCTGCCGACACGCAGTTCAGGATGACACACAGCGCCAGCTGGTCCAGGAAGAATCCCAAGCCTAATCGTCAACCGTCAGAGCCGACGCACCACCGCCATCGATATCCCGAACCTTACCTGCGAAGAACGTTCCCGCGCGAGCAGCTGGGCTCAGAGATCGCTGCTGGATCAAGAGGAGGAGCTCAAATGGGTTCCAGGTTGCCACGCCGTACATCTCATTGGTCGCCGAGGTGATCAAGAGTCCGCATACAGCCGTTGAGATGATGAGAATGGGAGCTGCTATGAGCTGAGAGAACAATGCCGCATTGGGTGTTTTAGCATAACGCGTCCAGTCTGACTGGCCCAAAGCGCCTGATGCTTGAGCACCGATGATGCTCTGCAGAGAGTATACGGCGGCCCATGAAAGCTTGGATCCTTTGGCTGTCGCTGGCATATGCATAAGATGGCCGACCGAGCCTGCAGCCGATATCGACCACGCCAGCATCCCGAACCTGCGTCCGAACATGCCATGTTAGTGTTTGGAAAAAGCGATCGCAGCATACAGAGTGGGACAGCCATACATTGTGGAAAGCATCATGACAAAGGTGACCTCTCCTACGTTAGCGTGCTACGATTGCTGCCTCTTCTGCGGGGACTTACCCTCAAAGGCCATTGCAACTTCTCGGGAGGTATCATCAAGATTGGCAGAAAGATGACTAGGAAGACGAAGAATGATATAAGGCTGGCGGTATCCACGTTGGCCGAGGCTGGGAGTGTATTGCGCAAGTTCACCCACGGGGCTCCAATGATGCCGCCTAACATGATTTTGACAGACTGGCCACCCCAGTACAGCTGGATACCATTCCACACAATGGCAGTTACAATGCGATTCAACACCGGCCAGAATCCGCCACGCATGCCCCAGGATCCGCGCGAGAGCACGGTGAAACCGATGTACTGATGGGAGCCTGTATGCGGTGTCAGTCAAATTCATCCATCGACATGCCCTGGCCTGGTTTCTGTTCACCTGGCCATCCAGCGAGCACAGCAATCATTCCACTAATGATTGCCACTCCGGTAATCACTCCCATGGCTTGCGGCACGGACAAGCCTAGAGAATGGAGTGACGCTGCGACCGACCATGCTGTTGTGTTGACTCCACAGATGACCCAATATCCAAAGTAGCCCTGCCAAGTCCAAGTTCGTCGGTCGTCAGGAATTGGAATCAGATCTCGATTACACCAATATGTGTTGTGATATTCTGCGTTCTCGTCAACCGGACACTCCAGACGCTTCGACCAATACCGGGCGCGAGCCTTAGTTTCTGGAGAGATCCGCATCTCGGCGCTTGATCATATCGCTGACAAGAGATCGTTCAGCAATTCCGAATATGCCGTCTACTACCTAGGCAACTGGATGTCCCAGTCTTCTAAATATCTGTGTTCGAGACATTCGACAACGATCGCGCCCCGCTATCTGGTAACCATGTACAGCCCTGCCTGGCCTATCTTCGTCCAGTTATGTCCTTCGGAATACAGAACTTTACAGGGCAGTATTCTATCGGCACTTCCTTGCCGAGTTTCTCGTTCCACTGTAGTACACCCTACTCGAAGCTGGCGTTCCAACTTCCGAATCTATTTATTTACCGCATTGGAACAATCGGCCGGGACCAGGCCCCCTACACCCGACATTGCCAGAGCAGCCAGACTCACGGATAAGCTCTACACATCATCCACAATTCGGCCGATACATCACGCTTCAAGTGCCGACGGCTATTTCCAAACTCATCGACCGCTTTCGTAAAAGCAGAACGATACGCAAAGCTGAGCTTGCTCCTCTCGTACAGTAAATGCTGGTCTGAGAGATTCAGATATTATACAAACCACATCTTCCTCGCAAAATGGGTTCTTTGGGCGACTGTCCAGAAACGATAGACACTGCCTCCATCCCCGTCATCGACTTCTCTAAGTGGTACAACTCCAGTTTAGCTTCTCGCAAAGAGGTCGCAGCGGAACTGATCTCGGCCGGTAAGGAGTATGGCTTCGTTTACATTGTCAATCATGGTGTGAGGCAGAGCAGTCTAGATCAAGCTTTTGCAATCACAAAGGCGCTCTTTGACCTGCCTATGGAGGACAAAATGAAGGCCCCTCATCCAGATGGTCCCGATGTGCATCGTGGCTACTCTCATCCAGGTGAGTAGTATCTCTGGGCGACTTGATGCGCCAGCGAGAAAGCCACATTCCTTGCTAAGCGAGCTTTAGGCCTAGAGCTCGTGACCGACTATCTGGGCTCAGAACAAGACGTTGGCGCTCGGGAGCGTCGCGAGCGTGCGATCGATGCCAAAGAATCCTTCGAAGTCGGCGCTGAAAACAACGAACTTCAACCACCCGTTTGGCTCCCAGAGTCCACGCTCCCTGGCTTCCGCAAAATCACCACCGACTTCTATTGGGAGTGCCACAACATCTCCCTCGAGATTCTGAAATGCGTCGCGCTGGGTTTGGGCCTGGAAGAAGACTCCTTGATTCGCTTCCATTCGGGCAGATACAACCAGTTACGTCTGCTCCACTACCCGCCTGTTCCAGCGGAGGAGCTTGAGAGCGGACGTACGGCAAGAAATCCTGCACATACGGATTGGGGTAGCATCACCATGTTGTTTCAGGATGAGTGTGGGGGGCTGGAAGTCGAGCATCCGAGGAAGCTGGGCACTTTCATCCCCGTGAACCCGGTGGAAGGGGCTTGCGTGATGAATATTGGAGATATGCTGATGAGGTGGAGTAACGGTAAGAGCAATCCTGACATTCCGGTCAAGTATTTGTGCTGAGACAAGAATAGATCTTCTCAAATCCAGCCGCCACAGAGTCCGACAGCCGCCGAGAGACGATCGATACACAGGACCAGAACGCATGACGCGAGCGCGATACTCCATTCCATACTTCATTGTTACGGATCCAGATACACTGATTGAGTGCCTGCCTACTTGTGTCGATGAAGAGCATCCGGCTAAATATGAGCCTGTGCGTCAAGAAGATTGGGCGAGGCTGAGGAGGGGCATTCAGTATCCTACCGCAAAGGCGAAGAAGGAGTTCGATACGGTGACTGGCATTCCTCAAGCTATGGTTGCTGAGGTCCATTAACGGATCGAAGATGGGAGATTGTACCGCCTTGGATTGTAGATGACCCTGACTGACAGCTGCAGTTTAGCCTGAGAAGAATTTGGTATTGCACTTGTCCATTCTCATACCCTCTTTCATCCTACATCCCTTCTTAATGGCTGCTTCTCCACTCATTTCAAGCATACAAATCGCTTCCTCTTGTTGCACAGCGAGGAAAAGCCCTCGGAAAAACGTCAGCTCGATCGCCGAAAGTCGATGGCCACCCATGAAGAGCTAGCTATTGGCTGGTGGGTTGTGCAACTCTGCTCCCTCATTTTTTTTTTTGAAAGATGTGGTTGACCGAAGCTTTGATCGGTAGGTAGGTCGTCGACAGTTCTTGCTCATGCAGGTATCATTTTGGACCCACCGGCAGTCATCATGCTGGTATATTCAATCATTTTTCAGAGCCGGATCCATTTCGTGGAATGCTGCAGGACATCTTGTTTCTACAACATCCATCACTCCTCTTGGCGGGCAGATGGGACCATTCGTTCTCCGAAATCTGGGAGCTCAAGTCTCTCACACATAGACCCCCTAAATTGCTTTTCGATCTTGTTGAATTCTTTTTAAAGATTTTGATATCGCACTTGCGAGAAGTTACGATGACGATGTCGACTGTCTTTAGTCGGCTTTCTAGTCTAGCGGCAGGATAAGAGTCTTCCTAGGTCGAGATAAAGCAGGCTTTGTCCGACTTTTGCTTGTCTAGACTGTTTACGATTTGTCGACAATAGCAATGTTATAAGAAAAACAACGAAACTCATATTAGGAATAAGCCGGAAAGCTTGACGCCGGTCAACGGGAAGATCTCCGCCAGGGTCCTAGATCCTAGAGCTCCATCGTCATCGCTTTAATAGCCTCGGACTCCCATATCAAAAGATCACCAATAAACCTCCATCTCAATCTACTGATTAAGAAACAACAACCACCCTTCCCCAAAACTTCAAATCCCTCACCAACTGCACACTCACCAAGTTCACAACCAAGCATTTCCCCAACCATGCCCATCTACGACATCCAACACATAACCCCCCTCACACCCGAACAACAAGACGACCTCGCCGAATCCATAACCCAAATCCACAGCACCAAATTCACAACCCCTCGCATGTTCGTCCAAGTAAAATACACCGACATATCCTCCACAACAACCTACATCGGGGGAAAACGTCGTCAAGGCAACCACATCGTCGCCAACGTGCGCGTAGGTCCCTCACGCACACAGGCCGATTGGGATGATCTGTGTCGGCAGGTATTAGATGCGTGGAATCATGCCATCGCCGTACCGGGCGCGAAGGGGGATTTGACGTTGAGGTCTTGTATTATATTGGGGGGGATGACGGCGGGGTATGAAGCGGGATTCTTGTTGCCGCAGGCGGGAGGTGATGTGGAGTGGTTGAGGGAACATATGGAGGAGTTTGAGATGAAGGCGAAAGCTGGGGATGAGGAGTTTCGGGAGCTTGTTGAGGAGGTTAAGGAGAGGGGGCTTTTGGATGGGGTTCATGGGAAGAGTAGTAAGCAGAGATTGGAGGAGATGTTGGGGTGGGGAGATTCTGCGTAGAAGTGGTGTTGTTGTTATGAGTACACGGTATCATCATCATATCTTGTTAGGTTGTTCCATTATGCACACTTTCATACTCGCTATGCTTGCTCTTCCTTTCCTTCCGTATCGCTTTCGTGCCGTAGACTATACATTCTCGCAATCCTCGCTTTTCCAAATCTCGATCGTGCCTTGTTTCAACCCACACATCGTCCCCAAGCTGTACAGAAAAAAGCAAAAAAATGTCAGCGTTCTGTTCTCCGCTGTCCATCAGGAGGAAAATAAGGATAAGGGTACGGGTACGCATGATCAAGACAAAACTCAATCACATCTTGATACTCACCAGGTAATCCACACCCAAACCCGACCAACAAGTACAACAAAAACACCACCACAACCCCCAAAAGCACCATCAACTTCACATTCTTCCACCACATCCTCCTCCTCAGCCCGCGACTCCTAACCCGAAAATCCCTCGCACTGCCCCCAAGCCGATCCGTCTTATCAACCAACAAATCAATCCTCTCCCCCCTCTCCAAAACCCTCTCAATACTCTCCGTCATAATGCCCCTCACATTCTCGATCTCACCCCGCACATTCCGCACCGCATCATCTTGCCCGGCTTTCGTCGTCCCATACTCCACCATCAACCTCTTCAATTCCGAATTAAACGCCGCAGCGCCATACGCCGGTAAACTCGACCATTTCGTCCGCACGGGGTCGTATTCTCCGAGGAAACGTTTCTTGATCTCGACCAGGAAGCCGAACGGGACGCGTTTTCCGAGTTCGGCTTTTGCGACGACGAGGTAGGTGAGGCCTGCGGCGGAGGGGGAGTCGGAATTTGAGGAGGATGGGGGGCCGTCGGCGATGTAGTGGATGAAGTTTTCTTGGTGGGTGTAGGTGAGCTTTTGGGATTCGGAATGTGAGATTTTGGGGAGGAGGATGGAGGCGAGGTTTGAGGTTTGTGCGGCCGAGGAGGTGGTGTGTTCGGTTAGGATTGTGGTGTTGTAGGCGATGCAGGCGTAGAGGAGGGGTGTCGCGGAGCTTGAGCCGGCGGAGGCCATGTTGGCGGTATTCAAGTCGGGTTTTGGTCTGTGGCTCCAAGTCGTGGATATGTGAGCTCCTGTGATGTGGATGCGATTGTAGAGTTCGTCGCCGGCCTGGCCTAGCGACGGATGGCTGCTGTCATGTGATGATGACGATGTTACACCATTCACTTCAAAGTCGTCTTCCGAACGGGAAGGAGCCGAGTTGGCAGATCGCGGGGAAGCTCCAACCAGGTTCCAGGTTCAACTTCCACTCGATCGAATGGACCCCTGCCATTGAGATACTAAACGTTGAGAAGAAACCACACAAACACATCCATCAATCCTCCACAAACAATCAGCATCAACAAACAACCCCGTCCTTATCAGCAAAACCACGACATCACATCCGTCCGAGCAACAACCTCAGCGCAAACGTCCAACCAACCATGGCATTAGAAAGATACCTCAGGCACGAGCCATTCCAACGCCACCTCAATCCTCCTAGCTAACCACTATTACAGCCTCAGAACGATCTCACTCGTCAGCGTAGCAGTTCTCGGCGGGGCCTTCGCTGGAGTGCAGTACAGAAGAATACAAAACGAGAAGAGGAATGCGAATACGTATCACGTGAAGCCTGAAAGATCAGGTAGGTATATGAATTCTAATATTCCCTCTATCCACGAGGAGTCCGACTACTCAAGCTAACGATGGAAAAGGTGGCGGGGTATGATCACTTCAGGTTGGGAATGGGGGCATAAGGTGTTTGGATGGGTTTGCATGGTTATGGTTTGTGGAGCATAAGTAGAAAGGGAAGGTCTTCTGGTTCGGATAGCATAAGAACACAACTGTCGTGCATCAAGCTCATCATGGGTATCTCGCATCTATGCTCTATATCATCATCTGTACATGCCTGGTCCCGCAGCATCAACACTGGATCACCATTGTAGACGCCTTTAATATGCCAACAGACCCAATACCAGAGCGCCATCACATGCTGCGCGCTTCATCGATTCAACTGGCTCATAGGCCTCTCGTGAAGTTCCTACTCATCCAATGTTTCCGCCTCTCCTAGATGGCCGTCACGATAATCTTTTGGCAAGACAGGTGCACTCATCGTGCTGATGGAAGATGTTCGATCTTGCGCTTTGCGAAGCACATCGGATTTCGGTGGTTTGAGATGATCCGACAGATGTTGCTGGCTTTGGCAAGCCTGCTGGAATCCAGTCTCTCGAAGCTCGTCTCTGTCGAGATGCGAGGGAGTAGCCTTCAAAGCTCGATGTTTTCTCCCTGCGTACTCCAACTTGGAAAATTGTTCGAAGACATTGAAAAGCCTACTGGTAGGGAGTCGCTCACTCTCCGCCGACGAAGAATCTTGCTCTTTACCGTTTCGTTCCGCTAACCGCTTGGAAGCATATTCGCCCTGCTTCTTCTTGACCAGATTCGTCAGTATGCCCGAGCGCACCTCAGGTGCATGTGTTTTGAGTGCAATATCCATAACGTGATCAAATTCTTCTCGATCGCCTGCTTGGATACAGAGCTGTAACATGTCGGCCAAAGTCCAAAGGCTGATTTTTGCTGGCCGAAGTATATGTTTCTTCTGAAGGTATTCACTCTGTCGAGTTCTGCGTTTCTTCTGAAGATATTCAATCTGGCGCCAGACGGCTAAGCCTGCTGTCCAGTCGCCGCGGTCCACGCAGTCTTTGAGGAGTATAGAGAAACCGTCAACATCAAGGCCCCAGCCTTCTTTAGCCCATGCTCGAGTCACGCGAAGGACTTCTTCAAAACCGTTGAATCGCAGTACACCCCTCACCAACGCGTTGAAGACCATAGGGGTGGCGTATGCTTTCTGCACCATTCGCCCATCGTCCCGAGCGAAGATACGATTGCCGTGATACCAACTGCCCGCCGGCCTTTTTGTCCAAGGACCTGCCTCCATCAAGAACTCTCCTCTCTTACCGGCACCACTCATCCGCTCCACGATGTAGCGGAATCCCTCTTCGTCGTCTGTGTCGGTGCGAAAGTTCAAGATGGCGGCCAGGCTGACTTCGTTAGGCCTCAGATGGGCTCTGAGGAATGATATTATGGTCGCTCTGGTTAGCAGAGTATGACCCAGGTGGTGCAGGCGAGTGATCAATGTGTTGTACGTGTCCATATTCGGTGGCGCTGTTGACACCGAGAGGTTATAGAAAACTTTGGCCAGATATTGTGGAGCTTCAAGAGCTTTGCTGTCAGCTTGGTCGAATAGCTCTCGCATAGCCGTGTTCATGTCGTTCTGCATGGATCGATGGTGACCAAGGTCGTCTTGCATGTATTTGCACAATTGCTCATCCTTGGCGTTGCGCTGGAAGTCGATGCTCTCACGAGGATCCATGTCTACCAGACGTTGCACGTCGGCCGCTTTTAGCTTCACTGCACCATAGAACTCATGCATTCTCAGCTTGGCGTAGTGTCGAATTTTGCCTGCGAATTCGGGTGGGACAGCACGTGCGGCATCTTCACAACTTAGGCCTTGCGCCTCACGATGTCGAAGCCAGGCGAAGAATGTCATGAGTAAAAGCTCGGTCACCATTTCAACGGTTTTAAGTTTCTTCTCCGACCATCGCGATGCATCTGCTTCTCTCTTGCGCGGATCCTCGGCATATATCGACTGAGCCGGCAGATGGAAGACATTGAGATCGTGACCAGTGTTGGCAGGCCATGTTGCTCGCTTCCGACGTCCAATACTGCTATCCGCGTGCTGCATTATCTCCTCCTTCCACTGCGTTTCCGCATCGAGAGGAGTGAATGCAGATGTGGATGTGGCCAGGTTCTCCTCGACGGGGGCTCGCGGATTAACAGCATCGTCCAAAGTCTCATCAGTCCTTGAAGTCATTGCATATTTTCCCACGCGACAGCCTTCTCCTGGGACTTCTCCCAGCCCATCTACCTCCAAATGCTGGCCTTCACGTAGCGCATCAGGGGATGCCGAGTGTGCAGAGTGTCTTGCGGCCAACTTCTGATCCACATGCATCGCTTGGCCCAGCTCTTGCTTCACGTCCGCTATAGCCTGGTCCCACTGCTCTCGCCTCCTCTGCTTCACACTTGCATCGAATGTCGCTGCGGCTGCGAATATTCCCGAATACCAAAGCGTGGACGATGTCCAGTATTGAGGCCTGATAGCATTGGCGTTCGCGGTGCCGGCGCTTCTGGATACTCGCTGGGCTGCGTGACGACATTGTGGGCAGCGGCAGGACCCTCGCACCTGAGCGACGCGGGTCCAAATAGTCTGCATTATCGTGGCATTGCCATTGCGTGAAGCTGTCGGGTGCGCAGCTTGTCGCTGCTGCTGTGATGCATTGCAGTGCTGGTGATGTGAATGACACAACCTCGAAGGCAGTCCGCGGCAGAGCGAGATTCGGCCGAAGATGCGCCGCTGCTGTCAACACTCACTCACTTTCCTTTCCTTTCCTTGAACGAACGCTTGGCAAGCCACCTTCTCTTCTCTTTCCCAGGCCATCGATATGGACATGGACACGCCACAGGGATACGACGGAGCTACCACCAAGAGCATGAGACAGCACTTCACAATGATTCTAGGTCGCGTCACTTACGCTCGTGCCGTGCCCAGGATGCAGCCAAGATGAAGCACGCGAACGAGACCATACAGGTCTTGGGCTTGGGCGCTGAGAGCGGGGCATTCAAGACCTGTCACCGCAATCGCTAGGCTACCTTCTATTCAATGCATCTGATAGCACCAGCCGTCCCAAGAGTGCCAAATGGGAGCTGAAGCCAGGCTCCAGTACTGTCCACTGCCACTGTTCCCGCGGGCTCGGCAGAAATGAGCCAGTGAGTCCACCATGACGTCAATCAAGGCTCCACTCACCATCAGGATGCAAAGACAGGGCATCAAGAAGGAGGGTCGCTGGCGTTGGAGAACGTCGCCTGTTCCTCCTTCCGCAAACATCTTGGAAACACCTTACACGAAGCCACGCCAACCAAATACCTGCTATAGACAAAGCACCTATGCCTAGAATATAATACCGATAGACCAACAATCACCGCTTATTCAAGCAAAACGCCACCATGCGCCAGGCAGAATCAGATCTGGAGAAAGCAAGGGACCGCAGAGACTTCGAGCCGAGACCGCCTGACAGTGCCAGCTTCAAGGATCGTATTGCCCATTTCACATGGCCATGGTTCGCGTCTACCATGTCCACAGGCGCTGTAGCTGTGGTTCTGGCCAACACGCCGAATCGATTCTCTGGCCTTGAAACCATTGGAAAGATATTCTTCATCTTCGACCTGACCATCTTTGTGACCTTCACAATCGCGATGCTTTTGAGGGCGTACTGGTTCCCACGCCGCTTCATTGCCTCACTGTCACATCCAGTCGAAGGATTGTTCTTTGGATCTTACTGGGTGTCGGTGTCTCTGATATTGAACGCCACTCAAGCATACGGCGTGCCGAGCTCTGGACCATGGCTTGTCAAAGCGCTGCTGGTACTCTTTTGGATGTATTGCGGAGTTGTCTTGGTCGTAGCCATAGCCCAATACTTTGTGCTATTCCAAGAAGAACGCCTGAAGATAACCGACGCTGTACCCGCGTGGATCTTTCCCATATATCCTCTGCTTGTCGTTGGAACGATGGCGGGCACCATGATTCCCTCGCAACCCGAGGAAGCTGCGTTTGATATGTGGGTGGGAGCAGTCATGTTGCAAGGGCTTAGCTGGACTGTGGCGCTAATGATGTACTCGATGTATACCCAGCGACTGATGACGAGCGCCTTGCCCGCACCGCCTACACGACCAGGAATGTATGTTTCTGTAGGACCTGCAGGCTATACCGCAGCTGGGCTCATTTCCCTTGGCAATCAGGCGCCAAAAGTCCTCCCCCCAGATATGTTCAACATCAATAATCTGCCAGACGGCGATATTGTGAGGCTCATAGGAATAATGGCCGGGGTGTTCATTATCATCTTTGCCTTTTGGTTTTTCTGCATCAGCACGGTTGCCGTCATTGCTGGCGCCAGGAGGATGAAATTCACGCTGAATTGGTGGGCAGTAAGTGTATCTGCTATATATATCGCAATGCCCCAAATTTTAGCTAACTGACCTTTGTAGTTTATCTTTCCAAATGCCGGTCTCACTCTTGCTGGCATACAACTTGGCAAAGTCTTCTCAAGCCCTGCAATCAATGGTATCTGCAGCGCCCTGACGATCGTATTGGTGATCATGTGGCTATTCACAGCGATAGCTCACGCACGAGCATGGATGCAGGGCAAGATCATGTGGCCCGGCAAAGATGAGGACAAGGATATGTATCATTCAGGATGGGGGAAGTATGCAGCCTGAAGTCCATATTGCACACGACCGCATTCAGCGTGAGTTACTTCATGCTGTGGCCTTGCTTGGCCGAATTGTCTTTGGCATTGTGTTTGCGCGCAGCTTGCGGAGCATCACTGGAGAGGAAAGTCATTGAATCACTGCTGACTAAGACATGAAGTTGTCGAAGTCATTGATCCGGCTCACACACGAACAGTCGGACGAGTGGAACCTTTGGCAAAAGATTATCCCAGATCCGCAAGCACGACTTTTCGTCCACGGTAGAGCTGACAGTCAGAGTGCCAGCCGGTTCTTTGACCATTTCCCAATACCATTCGCAATGGTATGTAGTAGGTACACCGGCTTTCGATGAACTGAAGGGTTTTCAAGTCGAAACTCTCAATTCCATACCCTCCACAACATTCAACCCATTCAGAGCGAGCTTGTTCTCAAATGCTGCAAATCCGCATCACCAACCGAACTCTAGCAAACCAGCCCCTCCAATCACCACAAGCCCAACCCCAACCCCAAAATCATCATGACCGGCGACGCATCTTCCAACACGTCCCTCGAGAAAGTGCAAAATCCTCCCCACCACACCCAGCCCCTCGTCTTCCCCGCCCACAGATGGCGGTGAATTTCAACGTCGCCGCAAATAAATAAGAAGAAAGAAAATCCCAAACCCAGCACTGCTCGGCCTCACACTTTTCGCCCTCTCCTGCATCAACCTCAAGCTTCTCGTCACAGCTCTCAACCTCGTGGCACATGGCTACGGACGGGAGGATCATCCGGAAGGTTCTAGATCTCATTCGGAAGCGTCTTGACTCCGGCTTTCGGAATTGTCGATTCTGCAGACGATGGGTGTGAGCAGTTTCAATGAGGTGCCTTTTCGCTGTGTATCTTTAGGCTTGGGTTAGAATTTTTGCTGCGGTTTTTTGTGCTTGTCCCTTTCGGCTAGTGCTTCGCTTCAGCAGGCTGGTGGTGTGTTTGGTATTTCCCGGGACAATGACCAGATTGGAACAACAGCTAACAGGCAGGGTTGAGATGTTCGCCCGCATGGCTGATAAAACATTGGTAATTTCTGGACCGCGATTCCTGTTGTCCACCGAGAAGGGCAAGAAGGAACGTGTCGATGGTCGTAATGAGGGAATGAAGTCTCTCTAGATATGATCGTGATAGGGATGAAGCAAAGTGAGAACATGAAAATATCGATAAATAGAGCCTTTCCGTTTCACAGTCGACTATCATATTTATCATACGTATTTAATCTATAGAAGCAGGCAAAGTAAAAGGCCTTTGTTGAAAGCTTCAATGTGAGAGTCATCGGTTCGGCGGGTTGAAGCTTTCTAAGAGTTGGCTTTCACACATCCACCAAAAAAGAAATGTGCAACTGGATGCTCTGCTATGCAGAGCCCTTCGTTCAGGATTACTCCCTGCGAGATTCGAACTCGCGACTTTCGCATATCTCAGCCCGTGGGTTGAATATAAGAACGACACGCTAAGCCACTGCGTCAAGGGAGTTGCAATAATGTACTGTGTATTTTGTAGCACGGGGTGAACTCTGGTAATATACAGGTGCTAGCTCTTGGCAGAGCGAGCTAGGTTTGGGATTCTGGTCGGATGGATCGTAGTTGTTTACGTGGGTCATGAGTCCTGCTATGATACAAGTTCACATTGATCGGATTTTGAGAGACAGGATTATATCGAAACAACAAATACCTCAAACAGCAATTGAGGTGACTTCCAATCCTTCACCTCTACGACCACCCTAGTCTATCCTATTTGCACCACAGCACACAATTTCCCTGGTTCTTCTTCGTCTCCATCTTCCTCTTCCTCTGCATAGGCAGTACTCTCAAGATCACCGTAATCCCTACACTAGCAAGTAATGCAGCCTTAAAATGCCAGCAATCAACTCTCATTCAAAAATCCACGAAGATGCACTTACACAGTCCTCAGATCCCACTCAGCGACCAATATCCACAGTCACTCGTCGCGTCCAGGTTCTGGGTTCTGCAATACTCCCGACGACGGGATAATGAGCCCTCGCCGCATGTGTGTTCGGAAGGTGGTTGGAAAAGATTGCCCTCGCTTGAAGAACAATCGATGGGTCGTTCGGCGTTGTGGGGATGGCTGAGGTGAAGTGCAATGCGGTAGGTACACGACAATGCTGGAAAAAGTGTCAACAGAGATCTTGAAACGCTAGATATTGTTAGGAAGTGCACTCCTTGAACCTAGGTTTGAAAAGTCGCGAGACGACTGCATGACTCCCTGCGAGAATATCAGCATCACAAGAAATCATTATTAGCTTCAACGTGCAGCCGGGAGCAGTGCATCTATATCCGGGGCGAATTGCACGTTGCAGTGGGCTTTCTAGTATTGTGCATTGAGGTGGCCGCTCGAACGATACGCCCTAGCAATGATTAAGCTATGAGCCAAGGGAAAAGGCCACAACCACGTCAATCGTCCGTGCTCGAATTTGCGCAGCCTGATGAGCAATTCAATCATGCCCCGGCTAGAGTCAAGCGGGATTGGTCATGTCTAAGGGAGAACACACTAGAACTTTCGCGTACGCATTGTACATCGTGCTCGAGAGGTACCGATCTGTGGGCCATTTTGGCGCCTACATCTTTCGAGGTGTCGCTGTCGTGGGAGTCCACGCTAAGATGCACGATTAAAAGCGCGTCTGAGTGGGCCAAGAAGGTTGCTGACGAAGGTAAGTCATGATCGTGAAAGATCGTAATAGATAGGATGGGCGAATGTGCTTTGCACGAGTCCGCAGTATGTATGAAAAGGTTGTTCATCGGAATGGATCTTGTTGCTCGGCTTGAGAAGAATTTAACAGCCTCAGAACGGTAGGGGTCTGCTGAGAGTACCCTGGGATCTTGCGCAGAATCGTCCGTCCCCAAATCAGCACCTATCATTGCGGCATTCTCAGAGCAGCCTCTGGTCGTTCCTGTCGTTCGCTTTCTCGCTTTCGCCCAGTTTGTGGTCCTGTCACGCTCGCGGACGGAGGAACGAGGGTCTTCGGAGGCCGCGGGCCACGTCTTGCATTTCCTCAAGCGGCCGCAAATTCTTGTTGTCGTACCCAACTTGCGTCGTCCCGATAGTATGCGAAACAGAGTCGTGTGAATATCTGTTGTGATTGAGCTGAGTAGAATAAGTCATTAATTAATTAACTATAGAATTGCATAAGGAAAGGAATTAAGTTTCTGTCTAAGCTAGAGGCTATATATATCGCTAGGAAATTAGGCCTTAGCACTTAGCAGTACTAACTAATCTATAATACTCCCCCTCTAGTAGAATCTATTAGAACGAAAGGCTATCTTCCCTTACTTTTCCCTTTCTTAGCTATCGCAGGTATTATTAGATAAAGTGTAGCTATCTTATAATTAATTAGATATAGGTAACCTATACATTACGTTCTAGGTAATATAGAGTTGCTTCTCCTAGTTCGCTAATTAGTCTAGTTCTTTTATATACGCTAAAGTAAAAGTAAAGTCGTACTTGCTATACGTTTGCTACTTAGACCCTGTCTATATAGTAAGCCTAGTAGTCTATATTTAAGAGGTACGCTTTCTATTTAAACTTAAACTTCTTCTTTCTACTAACTAGTATATAACCGAAATTCTCCGATATAGTTTAATATAACCTAATTTTAACTAGAGGTATTAACTAGAGGTACTATTATAGCTACGGCAACTTAGTCTAGTCTAGGTAGCCTAGCTACTAGTATAGGTAGTAGTAGCAGCGGCGGCGGAGGAGACGATCTAAATAAGAGGCTATCTAGTCGCTACGATAAGTAGTAGCTAATCGACAATAGTAGACCCCGTAGTAGTTCGGTTTCCGAACTACTAAACGTATATAGTTTAGTTTCTTAGCGGCGGACTAGCTCCCTAGTTCTATAAAAAGGGTTATATTAGTAGGTAGATAGGGTAGTAGTAGGTATAAGTAGTATTCGATAAGGAGCTAGGAGGAGAGGGAGGAAGGTAGGCAAGTTAGCCTATTGCTAAGCGCTAAGCCCTGCCTAAGGCACTAAGACCCTAGCTTTACTTGGCCTAGTTATATGCTAATTACGTATAGCCTCTTTAGCCCTAATATACGCTTCCCTTCTAAAGGCCGCGCCCTCGTAGCCTGTCTATATTCTACGACCTCTATCGCCGCTAACTCGGCAAGTCTAATAAGCTACTTAGCCCGCGCTAAATTGAATACTTAACTACCTAATTAGGTAACTATATCAAACCTCACCTCTAATACAATATAATGTCTAACTCTAACTGCGCTATTACTACGGCTATAGTGCTAATAAGGTGCTATATAGCTATATAAATTAAAGGCTAGCAACTAATTACAATACGAGCGTACCTTCCCTACTGTAATAGGTAGGTATATAGGGTATTGTAGTACTGCCCCCGTTCTAAGTAAGGTTATCCGAGTTCTTTGCGTCTACTCTTAAAAGACCTAGAAATGTCCGCTCCGAGGGTTTGTCCGTTCCGAGGGTTGTTCTTATTATTACAAGAACTATTATTTACTATCGTAGTTTTACTAGCCCTAATTGGTTAGGTTTAGCAGCCTTTAATTGTCAATCTTATCTTATCTTTTAAAAAACACAGCTCGTCTAGTTTCTATAAGTAAAGGCTATTATAAGTGCAGTAGTAGAGGTTCGCCTCGCTTAAAGGATTAGATAGATCGAGGAGTAACCTATTGTCCGTAAGATCGACCCTAGCTAGCTTAGCTCTATAGTTTTTGCCCTTAGTCGGTCTATTAGTCGCTTAATCTTTTAGGCGGCTTAAAGTTTTAATTAAAGTTTTAATTAAAGGTGCCTTAGGCTCGTAGTATAGGTAAGGTTGTCTTTGTAGGTATAGCGACAATAGCAAGTAATGTTAATAATAGCGGCGCTAGTCGTCTTAGCGCTAACTTTACCTCGCTTCTAATCTTCTTCTTTATCTAATAATAATAATATTAGCAATACCGTTACCGATATAGTCGCGTCGTCTTCCTTCTTCGAATAGTAACATACCCCGTAACACTATTACTAATATAGGCGTGCCGGCTGCTAATATACTACTAGCTCGTAGCGCGATACTATTATCTCTATTACCGTTATTCGCGCGCGCGCATCGCCCTTATTAGTTGCTTAGGCCTCGAGGCCTCGATAGAATAAAGGAATAAGAGGTAGAATCCTTAAAAGAGCAGTAACTAATTAATTAACGCGTTGTAGCGCGCCTAGTATAGTCTTATTGTCCTAGTTTGCCGGCCTCCGATTAGTTAGCTAATAGCACCCCGGGGGTAGCATTAGTCCTAGGCGACATTATAGGCCCTTAGCCTTCTTCTTGTTCTTTATACTAGTCTAATACTTATCTAACAACTTAGTTATGTCTTTAAAAGAGGCTTCATCTTCCTACAAGTCCTATTCCGGCGAATAGCCTTACTATCTTAGGAGGTACTCCTTTTTGCCTTACCTAGTCTAGTGCTTTAGAATACATTCTATAGACTATAGCTCTTTACCGTTAGCTAGTATCTCTTTATGTTTAGTAGGGGCTCCTTTATTAGAGTCTCCGCGGTAGTAGTATAGTTTAAGGAGGGAGATATAGAAGGTGTTATAGATAGTGTAGTATAGTAGGAGCTATAACTAATAGGCCTATACGGAAGAGCCCTTAACTTCCCGAATGCGGAATAGGCCAATGTACCTTAGTACTAGTTTAGGGCGTGTTTTGCTATTAGGTAATAGGTGTTTGCGGATGCGGAGGTTCTTTATACTAAGTATAACTATATTACCTTGCTTAAAGGTTATTAGCGTATAGTGTTTGTCGTAGTAGGCCTTCTAATAGGCCTAGGCCTTTACTAGTTTGTTAGCTATCTTAGCGTAAATTTCTCGCATCTTCTAAACCCTCTTAATAGCCGCTAGTGTTTTAGGGGTTAGTACTTAATACGCTTCCCTTTCCTTACGCTCGGCCTCGAGCGGTAGGGGGTCTTATAGCATAGCAGCGTTCTAGCCTATTATAGCGAAATAGGGTAATACCTTAGTAGATAAGTAGACACTATTATTATATACGAATTCGGCTAGTTATAGGAGGTTAACCTAGTCGTTAGGGTTCTTATTAATATAGCTACGTAGGTACTACTATAGCGTAGCATTTTGCCTCTCGGTCTAGCTATCTGTTTATAGATAGAACGCTATAGACAGGCGATGCTTAAGTCTTAGCTATAGGCATATTTCGCTCTAATAGTGCGATATAAATATCGAGCCCCGGTCGGAGACTATCCCCATAGGGGTTCCCTAATAGCTATAGAAGATGTTGTTCTATAGTGCTTTAGCTATATTAATAGCCGTCTAATCCTTCCGAGCAGGAATATAGCGAGCACCCTTAGTAAATCGGTCTATAACGACTAGTATAGCGTTAAAGACGTCTTTGCTTCCTCTTCGCTTAGTAGGGGGAAGACCTATAATAAAGTCTATTATAAGCTCTATAAAAGGCTTCTTTAGAACAGGGAGTGAAGACAACTCGCTAAATAGTAAGTGCTTTAGTACTTTAACTCGCTAGTATACTATATAGGTCTATATATACTCCTTTATATACCGCTTACTATTTAGCTAGTAGTATATACGCGATAGTAACTCGTGCGACCTCTCTATACTATAGTAACTAGCGAGCTTACTATTATAGTGCCTCTTTAAAAGCTCTTGTCTAATCGATTGTTTAGCGGGGATATAGTACCTGCCCTTGAACTTTAAGTAACCTTTATCGTCAATCGACTAACTGTTACTCTTACTAGATCGAGTCGCCCGTCTACTTATAAGCCTATTAATACGCTCGATAGCAAAGGCGTCCCTCTACTAAGCACGTAACAGCTTATCTATAAACGATTAACTATCCCTATTTATAAGGTCGTTTAATAGCACCCTCGCTATTAAACGAGGTACGCATTATATATATCTAATAGTACTAGTAGCCGGATTAACTGCAACCTCTTCTATAGTACTATCGCTATAGATAGCAATATCTTTAATCGAGTCGTTATAGCTCGAGCGATCTACGTCCTTTTTAACGTATACTAGAAGAACGACAACTCCGCTATAGTATTTGTTACCGCCGCGGGGTCCGGAGGTCCGCTTATCCTACGTTTGCTTATTAACAATACGGGCTATAGCAATCTTATACTATAGGGTTAGAAACAATGAATTAATGTATTAGGTCTCGCTATCGTAATTAGGTCGCCTCGATAGGCTATCGGTAGGGTTACTTACGCCTAGCCGGTATAATATATTAAAATCGAACCCGGCGAGATAGACGGCCTACCTAGCCTATCGACCTATAACCCTAGTAACCTTAGTAATGCTACGGAGGTTGTTATAGTCTATATAGACCTGTATTGTATATTAAGCCCTATCGAGGCAGTACCTCTAATGCTTAAAGGCCTCGATAACAGCTAGGAGCTCTTACTCGCAGGTCTCGTAGCGACGTTTAGTATTAATTATCTTCCTCGAGAAGAAGGCAATCGGGTGCTAGTAGGTATTATTAGCCTACTGTAATATAATAGCTAATATAGCGAACTGTAAAGCGTTAGTCTTAATTCGGATCTATTTGCTTAGTACGAAATAGTGCAATAAGGGGACTTTAGTAAAGCGTTGCTTTAGACCGTTAAAAGCGGCTTATGTCTTATTAGTCTATCTAAACTCTCTAGATAGATTGGCCTTAGTTTTAGTAAGCTCAGTTAATAGCATTACGTGCCTCGAATAGCCCTTAATAAACCGGCGGTAGAAGTTAGTAAAACCGAGGAATAATTAAAGCTCTTTAATAGACGTAGGAACAGGCTATTTAGTAATTGTTTTAATCCGGTTAGGATTAGCCTTAACACCCTCGGTCGAAATAAGGAAGCTAAGGAATAACACCTCTTTAGTAGCAAAGGTGCATTTAGAAGGTTTGCAACACAGTCTATAGGCTCGTAGGCGGTCGAGGACCTTACGTGCTACGGCCTAGTATTCTATAATATTAGGTAAATGTATATAAACTAGGATGTTATCTAGGTAAACTATACAGAGATAGTCTAATAGGCCCGAAAGGGCCCGATTAATATAGGACTAGAATGTTATAGGGGCATTAGCTAAGCCGAATAGTATAACTAAGTACTCGAAATAGCTATAGCGAGTATAGAAGGCTGTCTTC